CCTCAGCACCACATAAGAAAAAAACCGGAAGTGGCGCTGCGGTTCAAGTGGTAGAGTGCTAGCCTTGAGCTGAAGAGCTGAGGGACAGCACCCAGGCCCAGAGTTCAGGCCCCATGACCAGACCCAAAAAACAAAAAACAAATGATACATTTACTAGAGAATAATTCTTAAAGCATCAAACTCAAAAATAGCAAAATATCTCTTTAAAAATTCTGCTTTCCCTGGTGTCATCCCCAACACCACATACAAAAAAAAAAAAAATCCTACTTCAGTTCTGAGAAAAATAAGAGATCTGCTGAATCGTCAATCTTAGCAGCATAGAAATTTGATCCAGAGGAAAAACAAAGATAGGAAATGGACTCATTACCTTGCTCATGTAACTGTAACCCCTCTGTACAGTATTTTTTTGTGAAAATATTGTACAGAGGGGTTACAATCACATGGGCAAGGTAATAAGTACATTTCTTATCAAGCATTGTAGCCTCCTCCTTTGCTTCCCCTTCCCATCCCTTCCTATCCTCCCCCTGCCCCCTAACCCAATCCTTCCCAACTCCCCCCACACCAAAGTTGTAAAGTTCGTTTTTTTTTTTTTTTTTTTTCGGTCGTGGGGCTTGAACTCTGGGCCTGGGCGCTGTCCCTCAGCTCTTCAGCTCAAGGCGAGCGCTCTACCACTTGAGCTACAGCGCCACTTCCGGTTTTCTGGTGGTTTATTGGAGATAGGAGTCTCACGGTCTCTCCTGCCCGGGCTGGCTTTGAACCGCGATCCTCAGATCTCAGCCTCCTGAGTAGCTAGGATTACAGGCGTGAGCCACCAGCGCCCGGCCTGTAAAGTTCGTTTTTGTACAGTATTTTCACAATAAAAAACATATTTTAAAAAAAGAAATTTAATCCAACTTGTTTTACTTAAAATGAAGAGCTAGAAGAGTAAATGATTTAGTGAATGAAATTTTCATTAATTAATAAGGGATTTGGGAGTTTAGTCTCAGTTTAAGCTTGTGATTTAAGTTTCATTTTATAATTGCAATATTTTGTTACCTACAGCTGGAGTGCCAAACTATATCTGACACCAAGTAACATTGTGCTACTCACGGCTATAGCTCTCATTGGGGTCTGTGTGTTCATCTTGGCAATCATTGGCATTCTACACTGGCAGGAAAAGGTTTGTTTATTTAAATGAAGCAGTAGTTTTTGGTTTTAAAGTAATTCATTGCTCTTTAAAAATAGTATTAATGAGTTAAGGATGTGTCTGAGTGGTTGAGCACATGCCTAGCATGTGTGAGGCCATGGCTTTGATCCCCCTAAAATCACTAAATAAAGAAAACAGTATTAAATACATAATTAGCAAGTTACAACAATGTCCCCCATAAAGCTTTTTGTGCCAAAAAGAGGTATTTTCTTTGATTCTATCTATTCTCTTTGGCTTGTCATGCATATCATCATAAGCATTTTTTGCTAACTCCAATCACCATATTTAATCCTATCTGGTCCCTTATGAAAAAGAGAGCATGTTAATTATGCCATTATGTTTCCAATCACTCACAGTGCCAAAACAATAACATAATGTTTACATTCAGTTTTTAAAATTGCTTAAAATGTAAGACCAAGGAAGATTCTACATACTGTGTCCATAAGCATTAGAATATAGTCTGATACCTTCCATAGCTCTTACTCTATGAAAGAGAGGAAATTAATTTTATCATTTTGCATGGGATCTGATAACAGCCTAAATACTTGGGGCTTACAACAATTATGATGCAGTGGCTAAAAGTAGAAGTTTGAATGCAAGCATTTATGTGGCCATGTACACAATGGCACAATGTGGCGTGGCACTGCATAGTGTGGCACTGCAAGGTATAACATGACACAACATCATGTACAGCTCCTCATGTGGCTCCTCCTGTGCTGTCAGCTGCTTTCAACCCTCCTCCCAAGTGTCTGCTCTAGGCCTTCACCTTTTTTTCATACTATTCTACCAGTATGCAACGTGTTCCTCATTTCCATCTACAAAGATTCCTTACAAGTATTGTAAAGCCTCCTGTCTCCTCTTTGTTACCCACAAGATTAATCAGCTGCCCTTCTGATTCTTGCCTAGGCCAGAATCTCCTTGGTGCAGACCGCACGTTCATGTATCCTCCCTGTTCTCTGATGTCATGCTCTCCTACCATCTCCCACAATTGCTCATACTGTTTCCAGTGTTCTTTTCCTCACCCAAAGCTAGAAGCAACTTTCTTTTTACTTTGTATCCTGAAGTACAATGTAGTATGTTTTACTTTTCTTCTTTCTAGTCCTTACATTCCTACAACAAGATATAAAACCTAGGATTTGTATGAGTATCTGCAAGATCAATACATTAACAAAAGACTACTTATTATATGTAGATATAATTCATTGGGATTCGTTGGTATCATCAGTGTTAAGAATGGGCAAAAAATGCAAGCATTGATTCTGTCCTTATAAAATCGTAAGTGATTACAAGCTAATTATCTAATGAACATTTCTTGTTGGTTAAAAAACAATTATAAAATAGCTACTATAAACTACAAAATATTTTATAAGATTTATTAGCCAGTGTCAGTCACTAGTGCCTGTTATGCTAGCTTCTTGATAGGCAAAACCTGAAGGATCACAAATTGAAGCTAATCCAGATAAAAAGTTCATGAGACCTCATTTCAACAAAAAGCTGGGCAATAGTGATTCACACATATCAACTATGGCAGGAAGCATAAATAGAAAGATTGCAGTCCAAACTGGTCTGGGTCAAAATTGAGACCTTACTCAAAAATAATCAGAATAAAACAGGCTGGAAATATGACTCACTTGGTAGAGCACGAGCTTAGCAAATGCAAGTTCAAAGCCCAGTATCACATACAAAAAAGTTCATATCTATTATCTATTAATTATTGAGGGTTTTTTAATTAGTTTTATTTCAAAAATGTGTCTTACAAATATTTATCATTTAAAAACTACTATAAAATTTTTTTTCAGAAAGCAGATGATAGAGAAAAGAGACAAGAAGCCCATCGTTTTCATTTTGATGCTATGTGACCTGGCATTGAACGATGGAACTCCTGCTCTTCTGATTAAGTACTAAATTTTCACTGATAAAAGGAAGTAGGGGATTTGGGATGTTATTTATAAATGATGCATCCATTGGAAATTATTAGAATGTATTAAAATAAATATGATCTGAATGTCTTACAAGGTCCTTTATTTAAAGCACTTTGTATACAGTCATTTGGGTTCTTGATTCAATAGTACTGTGCATTTTTGTTCCTTTGTGGAATGTGTTGCATGTATTCTAGGGTCTGTGTATTTATAATCTTATTAGAGTAATGATGATGGGAAAGACATGTAAATAAAAATATTTAAATGAGCAGTGTTTTTTGTTCCACTTGAATCACTCTTGCTTCTTACAATGTAAATTATCCTTTGGTAAATGAATCACAGATAAAGTTTTAAACAGTCACCTTACTGACAGCAGAACAAGGTCTTATGAATGGCATACAATACATTAACTGCTTTGGCTTTGGCATCACAGTAAAACAGACTTGCCTTAAACTTGTGTAAAGTGTTTAGCATGGTGCCCAATGCACAGAAAGTGTAAGCACAAAGATATCTATCACTATTATTATTTTAGGTGATTTTATTAGATGTCTGCAACTAATTATATTCTTTGAAAACTTGAAATTTTCAGAAGCTCACCTGCTAAAGATTACATATTAGCTAAAAGTTGGAAAACTAATTCTTATCTGTGTGGTTAGTGAAAAGTATCCCATTTCATTGAAAGCGTAGTGACATCCTAACACAGGAAAGAGCTCTGCAGCACACCAATATTCTCACATGCTTGGGATTCCAAAGTCAATTATATTCAGACCTCAGTGTAAATTTTATATTATCAAGTTCATATTGCAAAAATTTATTTGAAGAGGTCTTAAATCTAATATTGAGAAAAATATTTACATATCAAGGTTAATGATTTTCTATTTGAACATGTCATGGCTTCTAAAATACAAAAATGTCAATGAAAATAATTTACTCATGTTTTTCTTTATATTTCACTGTGATTGGCATGTGTTTAGTTTACTTTGAATGTAAGCATGTATGTCTTAATAAATATTCCCTACTGGAACATAGTGTCATGGTGCATTTTTAAATAATTCTTTTGCAGCATGAAGTGACCTTCGAGGTTAACTTATGTGCACCGGAAGATTGAAGTAAAGGTACTCATTATTCAGGAAAGTCCTGCATAGGGTTCTGAGTTGATGTGACTTTTCTCCTCCCCTGCTCTGTTTTCAATACAAAGTAAAAAAGGTAGGTCTTTATAACCCCCTATACTCATCATTTATACCAAGAAAAAAAAAATAAACACAATACCAAAAGTGAAAAGACTTTTAGAGTAATGTTTTAGAGGTATGAGGTTTGAACTAGGGGCCTCATACTTTCTAGACATATACTCTGAGCACTGAGTTGTGCCTCCAGCACTGTTTTTTGCTGCATATTTTTGTGATAGGTTCTCTCTTCCTGAGCACAACTCCAGGCATGATCCATGTTGGGCCATGTTAGACTTCCCATTTTACCTAAGGAAAACAGCTACATACCCCCAGGTCCAGCTCTCATTTGAGAAGGGATCTCTAACTTTTCTGCCTAGACTAGCCTTGAACCACAGTCTATCAGTTTCAGCCTTCCAAGAATGTATGTATATACCACTAACACTCAGCTAAAATAAATTTTTTTTGGGGTCCAGTAGTGGGTCCTGAACTCTGGGCCTGGGCGCTGTCCCTCAGCTCTTCAGCTCAAGGCTAGCGCTCTACCACTTGAGCCACAGCGCCACTTCTGGCTTTTTTCTTTTTGCTTATGTGGTGCTGAGGAATCGAACCCAGGGTCTTGAGCATGCAAGGCAAGCGCTCTACCACTGAGCCACCTTCCCAGCCCGTCAGCTAAAATAATTTTATACCAATATATCTACAAGTTTATTTTTAAAAAATGACTATCTTGTAGGAAAATATCACCAAAAGTAAAGGGAGAAAAAATGCCACTACTTGAAGATGTTGAAATATGGTGTCCAAACCCACCACCAAGAATAGAATATGTTGGGCGCTAGTGGCTGCTGTTTATAATTCTAGCAACTCAGGAGGCTGAGATCTGAGAATCATGATTCAAACCAGCAATGGTAGTAAAGTCCATGAGACTTTCCAATAAACTACTCAGAAAAAGCCAGAAGTGGTGCTATGGCTCAAGTGGTAGAACACAAAGAGGCTCAGGGACAGCGCCCAGACCCTGAGTTCAAGTCCCAGCACAAAAAGGGACCAGAAAAAAATAAAGAAAATTTAGTCTGATAGTTACATAAGTTAGGTAATGAGTATATTTCTTTTACAACAATGTCACCCTTTTATTGCTCTTGCTATGCCTGTTTTTAAGATTAATTTTAAATTATAAAAAAGAAAAAACAGCCCCTGAAAAAACTTACAGAGGAGAAAACTGAAGGAAAACACAAGGAAGAAATACTCATCCTGTACACAGTCCTTGGCAAGACACAAGAAAGAAAAATGGTACTTCACAGCTCCTATGAAAGGCTAGATTTTCTCTAAGATGAAAAATTCAGGCTTTGTATTATCCTTTATAAAACAAGACCCAGAAATATACTCTTTAAATATTCCTATTAGCAAATGACATGATTGTCTACCTAGAAAATCTTTTAAGGAATCTACACACACACACATACATGAGTCCAACAAGGTTGAATGAAGATAATTCAAAAATCCTCTTTATATAAAATGAGAACAAGAAAATTGATATTTTTCAAAATAAAACTTCAAGAACCAGTATAAACAGGCACTATCTCATGCCTATAATTCTACTCAGAAAGCTAAGATTTGAGGATCCAGTTCAAAGCCAGTCAGGGCAGGAATATCTATGAGGCTGTTATCTCCGATTAGCCATGAAAAAGCCCAAGGCCCTACATTCAAGTCCCAGTACCGGCACATAAAAATAAAAAGATCCCAAAATAGAAATTCACAGGTAAAAGCATAGTAAAGCAGACAAAGGATCAATATACTGAGAACACAAACAAAATAGTTGTGAGAGAAGTCAAGAAAGACTTCAATGAAAAGAAACTGTTCACAGATTAGAAGACCATTACAACACATCCATGAGCTCCAACACAATTTCTGCATTGCATCCCATCCCTATCAAAATTCACAAAGCAGTATGCTTTTGTAAACAGACAAGATTTTTATACAATTTATATGAGGGGAAAAAAGAGCTTATCATGAGAAGACATAGTGGAAGAAATCAAACTACCTGACTTTAAAACTTAGAATTAAACCTGATACTGGTGGTTCACACTTATAATCATTAACTCCTCAAGAGGCTGAATCTAAGGATTGCAATTTGAAGCCGGCCCAGGCAGGACAGTCTGTGAGAATTATCTCCAGCAAAAAGCCAGAAATGAACTATGGCTCAAGTGGGAGAGCACTAACCTTGAGCAAAAAAGCCAAGCAAAGCCAGGTGCTGGTGGCTCATGCCTATAATCCTAGCTACTCAGGGGGCTGAGATCTGAGGATTGCAGTTCAGTGCCAGCCCAGGCAGGAAAGTCAGTGAGACTGTTATTTCCAATTAATGACCAGAACATCAGAAGTGTTGCTGTGCCTCAAAGTGGTAGAGCACTAGCCTTGAGCAAAAGAGCTCAGGGATAGCACCAAGGCTCTGCGTTCAAACCCACAACTTCAGAAAGAAAAGAGAGAGATGAGGAAGGGAGGGAGGGAGAAAGAAAGGAAGCAAGCAAGCCAAGAAAGAGGATGAAACTCCAGTACTGGAACAGAAAAATAAATAAAATTTTATTTTTAAAAAAGCAGCTTACTATAACTTTCTCTTCAAGATAGTGTATTTTGGCAAAGAAATAAGTAGGTCAATAGAATCCAGAAATGAACTCAGCCCACCCAGATACAGTTATATGACCTTTGAGAAAGGTGTAAAAATGATTCATGAAAAGATGCTCAACAGTGTAAGAATGACTGTATATAAAGAGGGAATAAAAGAATCATGGCATCACATCTTATGCAAGAATTGACTCAAATAATTGAACACTTCAGGAATATAAAGCTATGAAACTCTTAGAAGAAAACCTTCATGAATGAGTACTAGGCAGCCTCCTTAAAAAAAAAATACCAAAGTACAATCCATGAAGCAAAACACTTCATCTGAATTTTTTAAAAATGCTTGTTTTGCCAATGATGCTTTTGAGAGAAGGAATAAATAAGCTAACCAGATAAAATAGCTGCAAATTACATTTCCAGGAAAGGACTTGTATCCAAAACTGTACCAAGAGCTTTCACTAGTCAACAATACAAAACAATTTAAAAACTGGGTAAAAAATTAAAGACACTTCAACACAGAAACCACATGGATGACAAATAATCAATGAAAAGATAGATGCTCATCATCATTAGCAATTAAGAAACCGCACATTGAAGACATAGGGAGATACCACTATGCACATATTATAATAGCTAAACATTAAGGATGAAGAATAACTGGATTTTCACACATTGCTAGAGGAATGTAAAATAACAAAGCCATTCTGGAGGACGATTTGGAAATTCTAAAATCCATACTTCTGTACAAAATGGAATTTTGAAAAATGTAACAATAGTATGAACAAAAAGTATCTTTCATTCTGTCTCTGTGGAATACAATAGAAAACTTTTCTGATAAACACTGAATAAACCTTCAACAAACCCACATCTCTACCAAGTCCATGGAAAGGAAGACTCGAAATTATAAAGATGTCCATTCCCAACCAACATCACTCAATATCCCAGTCTCTCTGGAGCTAGCCCATCTGGGTAAAGCTACTGATTGCTGACAGGCCCCAGCCCTACCCACAACCAAGCTCCTCACAGCAACTCCAAGCTAGAGGAAACAGCCACCTCCCTCTTTGTGATACTCAAAGTAGATCCCCCTCCCACTGAACTAACATGGGAAGAGGGACATAAAGTGCTGTGTAAGGCAGAGCTTCCTTCTGCCTGCTCAAACAAATGATTTAAGAAACCAACCAAGCCACAGGAAAACCAAACACCACAAGCAAACCAGAGTCTCCACCAAGAGACTGGTTACGGACAAGGGGGAGACACAAGATTCCCCTCAAAAAAAAATTCAAAAAACTTTTTTCTACCTAATTTTTTAACTGTTTTCTATCTTTTTCATTTTTGGGGTTTAGTTTTTGGTGTTTTTTAGTTTGTCTTTTTTGGTTTTGGGGTTTTTTTAATAGTCTCTTTATACTCTTTTCCCTTTTGGTCCTTTTTGGGGTCTTTTTGCCTTATTTAATTGATGTTCTGTTCATCACAGATATATACCTGTCTTCGTTTATTAGACCTTGTCCTTCATTTTGTGCATACTTAATTCAGATATTGATTACTCAATTCACAAAAGCCCAGCCTTAACTCCTTTAATTGTAGAATCATTTCTTTATACTTATCTAAGTTTTTAAGTGTTTCATTTTAAATTTTTTATTTTTCCTTTTTCCTTATCTTGCTTCTCCTTTCCTTCTATCCCTTCCCTCTCTCTGAAGTTAGGTCCTGGTTATATTCCCTCTCTCACTTTCCCTCCCTACATTCCTCCAATCTTATTTTCTCCTCACAATTCTCCCTGAACCTATTAATTTCTGGCCAACTGACTCCTTCTTTGATTTATCTTAGTCCATTGATCCCTAGTTGTTTGTTGTTGAACTAGATTGTATCTGTCCGTATTCATTCTGATTGCTTCAATCTCTTTGGGCTCTGGTTGCTACTTGCCTTAAAATAGTGTTCTAGCTCAGCTTTGGTTTGGTTATCATACCAAAAGGGGCAGAACAAGCAGAAACACAAGAAAAATGGCAAGTCCAGGTACTTCAACTCTCACTAATGATAATCAGGCAACAGAGCAATTAATGAATAATAAAAAGAAGAGTTCCCAAAATGCTCTACAAACACTACTGGTAATTATGCTGAATGAAAGGATTGAAAGCCTGAAAAGGTCTCAGTATGACATGATAGGGAAATGTGTGAGTGGGATAGGGAAATACATGAGTGTGATGAAGCTAAACAAATATTAATACAGGAATATGGGAGCATGAGAGGCTAACCAAGGATT